AAGAATGTATGCACAAAGAAGAGGTCGTATGAGTACACAGCAAGAAGGTGGTTGCCAGAAAGCCAAGAGAAGAGGTCTCAGAATGAAATGTACCTTGTCAGAATCTTGATCTTGGACTTTCCAGGCTCCAGAACTATGAGACATGAATTTCTGTTGTTTGAGCCACCCAGTCTATGGTATTTTGTTATGGCAGTCCAAGCAAACAAATACAGATTTTGGTATTGGAAGTGGGGTGCTGCTATAACAAATATAAAAAAAAAATGTGGAAGTGGCTTTGGAATTAGATAATGGGTAAGAAGATGGGAGGAGTTTTAGGTGCATGCTAGAAAAAGACTACACTGTGAACAGAATGTTGGTAGAATTATGGATGTTAAAGGTTATTCTGGTGAGGCCTCAAATGAAAATGAGGAACATGTTAATAGAAATTGGAAGAAAGGAGATTCTTGTTAAAAAATGGCAAAGAACTTGGCTGAATTGTGTTCTAGTATTACGTGAAAGGTAGAATTTGTCAGCAATGAAACTGGATACTTAACTGAGAAGATTTTTAAGCAAAGTATTGAAGAAATGGCTTAGTCCCTCCTGACTGCTTGGAGTAAAATGTGAAAGGAGAGAGATTAATCGAAGAACACATTGTTAAACAAACAAAACAAACACCCCTCCCCCCCACAGAATGTAAAGATTTGGAAAATTATCGGTCTATTTTTATTGAAAAAAATGAAGAAGCTTGTTCTGGAGACAGCACCAAGGGTGTGACTAGACTATCACTCCTTAAGATTACTCATGATGTTTTGTAACATGGATATATTTTTTAAAAAAAGATTACTCATGATGTTAACTAGCTATTTCAGCAGAAGCTGGGAATAGAATTTGGACCAAAAGGAACAGGACAGTATGGTAGACTTATTGGACTGCAAATGTGCTTTAACTTTTTTTTTTAATTTTAATTTTTTATTTTTTAAAAATTTATTTATTTATTATAAAGATTTGGGGTACAATTCAGGGTTATGTATACAAACATTGATCATGCAGGTACCCTTGTTGACGAGGTATGCCCCTTCGTCCCCTAGCAGTTTCCACCAACTGCCAGTCCTACCCCCCTAACAGTTTTCTGCTACTGCCAATCGCTTTCTTATAGCATTACAATTGTTCAAGGTCACCTTATGAGTGCGAACATATGGAACTCAGTTCTTTGTTTCTGTGATAAATCACTGAGTATGATCGACGCCAAATCCATCCAATTTGCTGCAAAGTCCATGTATTTGTCCTTCTTTATGGCTGCATAATGTTCCATTGTGCATATGTACCACATTTTTTTAATCCAGTTCAGCTTCGATGGGCAACACGGTTGGCTCCATGTTTTTGCTATTGTGAATAGAGCTGCTACAAACATACGTGTGCAGGTATCATTTTTGTAGAATGATTTGAGTTCCTCTGGGTATATTCCCAAGAAAAGGGAAGAATGGCCCTGAAGGTGATTCAGAGATCATCAAGGCTGCCACTCCTACCACAGGCCCAGAGTACACAGGCCTGGGGGTCAAGGCTGCCTCTACCTTTGTTTCAAAGAATGGGACTGATTCCCATCAGTCACATGGATGGGACCATCCTCCCAGCCAAAGGGTGTGACCATCCCACGGAGCTGTGGGGGTGATATTGCTGTCCCAATGAACTTGAGGGCACAGCATTAAATCAATGAGCATTATTCTTGAACCTTAAGATCTAAAGAAATTTGCCTTGCTAGGTTTTGGACTTGCCTGGGACCTGTCACCCCTTTATTTCTTCTAATATCTCCCTTTTGGAATGGAAATGTCTATCCTATGTCTCACCATGGTATTTTGGATGCACATAATTTGTCTGGATTATGTGTTCACAGCTGAAAAATAATTTTACCTCAAGATGAATAATACTTTTAGTCTTGGACTATATTTAGATGAAACTTTGGACTTTAGACTTGATGCTGGAATGAGTTAATATCTTTTTGGGCTATTGGGATGGTATGAGTGTATTTTACATCTGAGTAGGACATGAGTTTTTAGGGGGCCAGGGTGGAATGCTATGGACTGAATTGAGTCCTCTAAAATTATGTTTAAGCCCTAACCCTCAGTGTGACAGTATTTGGAGATAGGAGGTAATTAAGGTTAAATGAGGTCATATGGGTGGGGCTCTAATTTGATAGGGGATTGGTGGCCTTATTAAAAGAGAAAAGGCTGTATGAGTACATAGTGAGAAGTCAGCTGCTCATAAGCCAAGAGAAGGGAACTCAGGATGGTACCTCTATTGTGGACTTCCCAGCCTCCAGAACTGTGAGAAAATACATTTATTTTATTTAAATCATTGAGGCTATGATATTTTGTTTTGGCAGTCAAGTAGACTAATAAATATATATAAACTATATATATATAAACTAATAAAAATATACAAACCTCTTGTCATATAGTAGAAACTAATTATATTGATATATAATATGCATACAAACTAAGTAATGGGAAAGAATGTTTACACCATCTAAAAGGACAAGATGCTGTCAAGAAAATAAAATACCAACTTCTTTACGATACTTTGGAAGCAGTCCTACTTTATGGCATTTTAGACGTATTCTTCCACAATAGTATAATAAAAACAAGCAGCACTTGTTTTCTTAATTCAAATTGCTGTTGCTATTACTACTATATTTATGATAGAATAATATAATAATATAGTTATGCACTATATAACAATGTTCTGGTCAATGATAAACTGCATATATGGTGGTGGTCTCATAAGATTACAGTGAAACTGAAAAATTCTTATCACCTAGTGATGTCATAGCTATCATAACATCATCACACAGCACATTACTTGTTTGTTGTGATGCTGACATGAACTAACCTACTGTGATGCTAGTCATATAAAAGTATAGCTCATATGATTTTGTACAGCACACAATATTTGATAATGATAATAAATAACTTTCTGGTGTATTTACTTAATATACTATACTTTTTATCTTTATTTTAGAGTGTACTCTTACTTAGGAAAAAACAGCTCTAGAACGGTCTCAGGAAGGTCCTCCAGGAGGTATTCCAAAAGAAGGCATTGTTATCATAGGAGATGACAGCTCCATACATGTCATTGCCCTGAATATCTTCCAGGAGGCAAGATGTGGAGGTGGAAGACAGTGGTATGAGCCTAACCTTGTGTGGGCCTAGGCTAATGCCTGTGTTCATGTCTTAGTTTTTAACAAAAAAATTTAAAGAGCAAAAAAATATAAATTTTAAAAATAGAAAAATGCTTGTAAAATATGGATATAAAGAAAGAAAATATTTCTGTATAGTTTGTACAATGTAGTGTTTTAAGCTGTGTTATTGCAAAAGCATCACAAAGTTAAACCAATTAAAAACTGTATAAAGTAAAAAACGTTACAGTAAGTTAAACTTAATTTATTATTGAAGAAAAATAAAAAAAATAAATTTAGTGTAGCTTAAGTATACAGTGCTTATAAAGTCTACAGCACTGTATGGTAAAGTCCTAGACCTTCACCTTCACTCACTACTCACATGTTGACTCCCCAGAACACATTCCAGTCCTGCAAATTACATTCATGGTAAGTGCCCTATGCAGGTGAACCATTCTTTATCTTTTATAGCAAATTTTTACTGTACCTTTTATATGTTTAGATATATTTAAATACATAAGTATGTACCATTGTGTGATGATTATCTATATATTCAGTACAATAACATGCTATACAGGTTTGTAGTCTGTGAACAATAGGATATCCCACATAACCTAGGTGTGTAGTAGGCTATACCATCTAGATTTGTGTGAGTATACTTTATGATGTTTGCATAAGGATGAAATCACCTAACGACACATTTCTTAGAATGTATCCTCATTGTTAAGTGATGCATGACTGTAGTAATATTATTTACCATATATAATAATATAGTAGTAATATAAGAATATAGTTATTATATATTTATTATTTTATATCCTTATGATATTGCCATTGTATTATTTTATATTAATATTATTAATCTTACTAATTATTTAAGTGTGCCTGATAATGCCTTATCTAGTGAAATGTTTTCCCCTTAAGGTTCTCTTTGTAGTTAAAAAATAAGTCTATGGTTTCTTAAAACTATTTAATAATTCATGGTTTTTATCAATTGCAACAGGTCTCTAGTTTCTTTCTGTCCTAACAGTCTCTTAAATAGGCAAATCCAAAGGGACATGAGTTCCCACACTTAAAAAAATGAAAAGAGAAATGCACAGAAAACTATGATTGGGCAGATATAATATGTAAACAAATTAGATTCACTGGGCATTGCTTCCTATAAATACAATGGCACCACATACATATGAGAAGGGACCCCCAAATAAGATAATTATTTTTTGGAGGGTGGGGCCCTTTGTAGTACAGGCTTCTCCCCCAGGTAAGTGTTCTAGGAACCCATCAACATTAGTGTTAACCCATCAACCAGATAGTGTCGTTGTGAGAGACTGTGTTAGGCTTCAGTGAAATTTTTTTTTTTGAATTCTCTCATCATGTTTGCCCATTTCATGATGGGTGATTTACGAGTGCACCTGCTCACACCATGCTGAGTGTTCAGCAGTTTTTGACCAAAACCGGCACGACCCCCATGCCTCACCCTGAGTGACTTTTTCTTTTGTTTCCCTGAATGAAAAAGTCCTCAAAGGGCTTTTGCTGGTGTGGGAGAAGTGAAACCAAAAACGACAGAAACACTAAAAGGCATCAAAATTGATGAGTTCAAAAATTGTTTTGAGCAGTGGAAAAAGCATCTCATTAGGTTTATTACACCAGACAGCGTGCACTTTGAAGGTGACTGACGTTTAAATGTGTAAGAATAAATACATGATTTTTAATAAATAAATTCCAGGTATTTTTGGGTCCCCCATATATTTCCAGTATGCATAACATTTATGTGTGATTGTAAGCTCAAATGTAGAGCATTCATTGTTCTTTTGGAATCTTTCAGTAATGGAAGTTTATTCTTTCATAGGTATCAAGGTTACATTTATACGTATCGAGTGTCCCAGACAGAAACAGGTTCCTGGAGTGCTGAGGTATAGCTTTTATTTACTTTTATTTCTGTGGGTATCAGGGAGGTATTTGAAATTTACACGGGTTTTATAAAAAAGCAGTCGAATCATTCATTACTGAGATATTCATTAGATGTAAACCACTAAAGCTCCTATCCAAAATTGTTCATGGAGCATTAAGAGACCTTTAGAAAATTTTGATTCCAGTCCTATTCTGCCATCATTGTGTAGAATGGTATGACTTTGGGGAAAAGGTAAAAAAATTGAAGGATATGTCAAACTTTTAGTGCCTGTGAAATATTAGAAAACATGTCAAAAATAGGTAAAATAATTGAATCAGCAACTATTTACCAAGTGATACAAATATGAGTGTTGGTATTATGGGGGATTAAAAAACATGATGCCTGTTTTCTAAGAGACTATAATATCCTTGGGGAGATATAACATGAAATAAAATAGCAGTAGAAGAGACGGGGCTTTGTTGTCAGGTGGATCTGTGTTCCAGGTCTGATCCTTTCTCCTGCCTGATAGGTCAATAACCTTGGGCAGGTTCCTAAACTTTTGTGTGAACCAGTTTCTTCATCTGTAAACTGAGCTGAAGAACCAGCCCTTACTCACAGGGCTCATTTTGAGTAGTAAATTAGATAATGCACATAAAGAAGCTCTTAGCTACAGGACCTGGCACATAGTGAGGCCTTAAAAATGTGAACTTCTGAAATTGCTGAACAATATGATTGTATATAATCAAGTACTGAGTACCCTAGCACAGGAGTTCAAAGAACAGAGGGCTTCCCAAGTATAAGGGTGATCGATGTTACTCTGCATGAGGAGTCAGAACTCTGAACTGAACCACGTGGGAAGGACATGGATAGGTGGAATACATAGGAAACATTGCAGTGTTTGCTTATAAACTGGGGCTCTGAATAAGATTTTACTAGAAAAAAAAAGTGTTCTTATGGTTTTGAATACATTTGAAAGACGCTATACCGTTGCACACACTACCTGACTCTTTCCATGTGCTAGGGTAGTATATCACATCTTACTGATCATAGAGCTCTCTAAAATGGAAACTTTCAACCTCAAATGCTGTGTTTGGTTTCTGACTCTTTAAAACAGTGTCTTTATAATGGAAGTACTTTATTATGAGCTTTTGGAACCATGAGTGCTAATGTAAACTTCTATTAATAGTGCAATTAATTTATACATTTAACAAACTCTGAAGTCTCGACTTAAAAATAAAAATAGCTTTAAGCTTTACTAATTCAATCAATTGGAGAGTACAAATTGCAGACTACAAATGTTTTGAACCACTGGGATGAATTAGAGTGAGTTTTCAAACACATTGTTGCTTTATATAAGGATAATTGAAACTGTGATACTAACTGAAAATGAAGCAGTAGCATTTCTCATCAAGACTATTTATATCTGTTTATTTAAAAATTTTCTGTATCACTGCAGAGTGATTAAGAAGTTAATTTATTATGAAGAATAGTTGTATGTAGTAAGTATATGTACATATACATATGCCTATATACATATTTGTATATGATTTGACCAGAAATAGTCCTCTTTAGAGAAATTCCCTTCAACTGCTCAGGAATATTCTTTATGGAAAGGATCTTAAATTCTTAGGGTTTAGCAACCTTGTCTTTAAACATGTCTTCCTCCATTTCAAGTATAACATCATATGCAGATTGTTACATGCTTGTGATCACGTTAAAGAGGAGAAAGCTTATTGAACACGAATGCCGCCTCATTCTGTTGTCTGATCTGACCCCGTTTATGTAATAATATTGTAATTATCTGCACCAAGAGAGCAGAAGATTGGCATGAATTATCCCCAAATAGGAAACAGTTCAAAACATTCTTTAATTTTTGAAATGCATATTGCAATTTTCCTATCTACTAAATTTGCCTTCTTAGTTATGCTTTGCTAAGGTGAATATTAAACTAGTGTGTATTCTCAGAGCTCATACCACCTGACTGGAAGAAATTTATCTAGAGCATATTGAAGACCAGCTGTGATCCGAGACATGTTTCTATGGATATCTAAGAGGTGATAGTATGGGAAATGTGCAAATTTGAACAATAGCTAAGTTCAGCTACAGGATGGGAGTTGTCAGTGGTACTATTCTTGTGGTAAATGTATTTTCAAAATTGGATAAATGATAGATACTTATACTGCTTTTTGGAGCAACGTTTTAGTTTACTATGCTGCAGGAAAAATCAGGGCAGTAGCATGCCATCCTCTGTGCAAATATTGTGCTAGAAATCTAGGTAAATCTGAGATTTATTTTAAACAGAGGAATGAAATTGAACCCTGGACTCACTGAATTATGAAAGAAAAATATGTGTATTTCTAGTTTTAGATAGACTTTTAGGTTAGATCATTGCCTAGTGTATTAACTCATATTATGTGACAGGCCAACATTTTGCTAAATTATTAATTTGGAGAATACTGCATACAATCACTTATAATTTATTAATATGTGCATTGTTGGCTCATGTAAATATACTGGCCTCTACCTGCTGACTTTAGTGCCTTTAGGCTTTTCTGGGTATTAGATCAGCAGATACTATATGATTTTACTTATTAACTTAAGCAAAACTCGTAAATTGGGTCAGTCATTTGCTTATGAAACATTGTGTCCCAAATTCAAATTGCTTCTATACATCCAGCGCTTTTATTCCCGTCTCTCAGCATGCATAGTTAACTACATATCAGTCCCGATAAAAATGATGCTTCTGTTGATAAATGGTTTTACAAGCCAAACAAACAAACAAAAAACAGCCACAAAGATGTGTGGTTTGAAATCTTTCCATACTGTGAGTGTGTATAGTTTCCCTTCTAGTTGGTGACTCTAGCTTCATTAGTACCTGTTTGGTTCAGTACTAATCTGAAAGGCAAGAGACCGAGTCCTGGCATCCGGAACCAGTTCTGCCTCTGGTAGTCTGTGTGACCTTGGGCACGCTGATAAATTTTTTTGTATGTACATTTTCTTATTTGCCAAATGGGAATAACTGAATCAGCCAATAACTGCCCATCTGTGAGAAAATAGTGGGGGCAAGTGGGGGAAAGTGCTTAGAAAAGGAAAAAATGCTCCAGGGAAAGTGTAAGGAGGTAATTTGTGTCTGTGGCTTGCCTTTTCAATTTGGAGATTCTATCTTGGAGCCAAAGAACTATTTGGATCTCTGTGAGAATGGCTATGATATTTTGGATGAGGTCTCAATAGAGCTTTAGGAAGATATTTTGACCATAGGGATGGAACAGGGTGGGAGAATGAGTGTTTTACATCTTATGTTGTCATGTGGGTAAATGCTAATTTAGAGCTAAAAAGAACTTTTGCAGTGTTTTCAATGAAAAATTACTTACCCAAATGTAGGAAATGGCTGAGAGTAACTATGGATAGTGCAATGTGCTATCTGCAGCACACTGTCTAGTTGATAGAATTCTGCATGCCAGCCTTCATGTTTTCTCATTAAATACTAAGAAACAAACAGCTCCCAACTAAAAAATCTTCCAGATGGAATAGCTGAAAAACAGCTTTCTAAAAAATACCAGTCATTGTTCAATTGCTCATAGCAATACTATTTTATTTTATGTAAAATGACAGTTTTGAGCTGATGCCTAAAACTTGGCTTATAAGCTTTTGCAGAAAATTGTTGTTGATTTCAGGCAGTGTCTTTGCAAGACAACTGATGTCAGGAGAGGAACACATTTTAATAGTCACCTGCAAATAACGATCTCTTTAAAACACACAAGTATATAAATAAAGGTGACCTTATATAGTCTTTCATTTTCATGTCATAGAGAAAGCCTTGTCACAGTGAAGTGCTGATGGAGAGAGCAATTGTGGGAGGATAGGGAAGTTTCCTAAGGAAGAACAAATTTAATGTGAAGGATGAGGCAAGAAATATTGTGAAGTGAAAGAGTACGAGGACTAACTAGTCATGCAGCATTGTGTGTCTCATAAAAGCCAATTTTTAATTTCCTGTGTAGCAGTTTATATTGTGGAATGATGTCAGGGAGAATTGGCTGCTGGCTTTTCTACGTTTCTTTTTTTTTTTTTGGTTACTTTTTATTAATGACCTGTAGGATCTGTGTTTTTTTCTGTGTTTAACTGCATCCCCTATGTTGGTGAATTCATTGTGGGTAATGGCCTGTATACCCTTAGAGGTTCGAGATGTCTGATGGGGAGCAGGCAGGAAGGGCAGGGCGATGAGCAAGAGCTTGTACAAACTAATACCACCCTTGGGAGAACTGAAATGACAGTTCATTAGCTCCTCTTGGAGAGAAATTCAGCCAACCAAAGTAAGTTCTTCTGGAATGCCGTTTTTCCTTCTTCCTTATGTTTTCAAATATTTGAACACGTTATGCAAATGTTACCTCTCTAAGCATCCTTTATACATTTTGTAGGTCTTTTAAAGATCATTATGAGGTAGGTAAAAAATTTGCTTGGCCTTTTATTTTCCAGACAGCACCTGGGGTACATAAAAGATTTTTTCGGAAAATAAAAAATCTCATTTCAGCATTTCAGAAGCCAGATCAAGGCATTGTAATACCTTTGCAGTATCCAGTTGAGAAGAAGTCCTCAGCTAGAACTACACAGGATGCTACAGGTATGGTTTACTATTGCTTTTTGACAGGGTTTGGATGCTCAGAGTTATGAATCAACCTATTTATATAATCAGTTGGAAGTTCATTAAGAAAAATGCAATGAGAAGTTAGGTGTAGCTAGCAAATCGAGTGAGAGGTGACTGTTTATGTGCCGTGATTTTAATCTGCTATACTGTAATCTTTTGATAAAACTGCAAAAATATCAAGATTCCTGTAAACCTATAACATTTAACCCCTCTGTCTGTCTCATCTTATTCTCTCCTGTCCCTTCTATAGATACCTAAGTACCATTTCACTTCACTAATTCAGACACAAATAATTTGAAAGATAGTATAATTCAGAGAACACCTGGGCTGCCCTTTACTTTTGCTTAGTAAACTATTTTCCCCCCCTTCAGGGACGAAAAGGCTAACATTAACCTGGGCTATATGATTCTGGTTTCTGAATTGGTGGTGCTTGAATTAAGGAAATTTTACTTTAGCAAAGAAAATTAAATTAGTAGACTTTACTGTTCCACTGGCACAAATTGTTACATCTCCTGAGCAAAACTATTTTAGTGTGTCGTGCTAAAGACTGAATACCAGTCAATGTCTGTGGCTATCTGATATGTGACTGTTTGCTCTTCTTTTGAAAGGGGTTTATCCTTTGTTAGGAGTAAGAGGATAGGCCTTGATTAAAACAATAAATACTTATGATAAAAGAAAATGGGCTGGGCACAGTGGCTCCTGCCTGTAATTCCAGCACTTTGGAAGGCTGAGGTGGGAGGATCACTTGAGTCCAGCATTTGAGACCAGCCTGGGCAACATAGTGAGACCCTGTCTCTACAAAAACAAAACAGAACAATATCAGCAAAAAACTTAGCTAGGCATGGTGATGTATACCTGTAGTCCTTGCCACTTGTGAGGCTGAAGCAGAAGGATGGTTGGGTCCAGGAGTTTGAGACTGCAGTAAGCCGTGATTGTGCTACTGCATTCCAGCCTGGGTGAGAGAGTGAAACCCTGTCTTGAAAAAAAAAAAAAAAAAGACCTGAGCCCGCGGGTTCGAGACCCCCCTGGGCAGGCAAGACCTCATCTCTACAATAAATTAAAAAATATATATATTAGCCGGGCGTGGTAGCGTGCGCCTGTAGTTCCAGCTACTTGGAAGGCTGAGGCGG